CTCTGTCTTCAATTGTTGGCCAGCATCCCATGATGTAAGACCGTAACACCATGGATCAAGAACAGAAGTCGAGTAATTCATAGACTGAATCAATGGACCATAATTAAAATATCATGTATAAAACAAATTCTGAAATACTACTTTAAGGCTATCATTACAATTGCTTACACCTTCCTTCTAAATTCAAATGCTCACTAATTAAGCCCGTAAGCCTGACACAAAAAGTGACTACAGCTTTCCTCTCTCTCTCCCTCCAGTGAAAAAGGCTTTGTTTGATGCATCTGCAGAACAAACGGATGCACCATACACTCTCCAGCTACGAATGCCAAGAAGCTTAAAGAAGTAGTTTCCTAAATATACAGGACTGATCACATCCTCCTTTGGTTCAAAATACAAAATCTAGTATGACTGGATATATGACGAATAGGTTGTATATTAAACTTGTATTTACAAACAGTATATAAAAGCAGCTAAGTCATGATAAGCTACAAGGCTTTTTTTCCAGAAGAAAAGAAAAAATGAGGGAAGAATGGAGGAGAAACTACTAGGAAGTGAAACCAAGACATTTAGGCCATATTTTTTGTTTCTTTCTTGCATGAGTGAAAAGGTTCTAAGTTCAACATTAAAACCACTGCTTTTTGCCTCTTCAAAATACCTGGTTTTGCTGTTAATAGCACACTGTGGTCATTATTTCAATACAAAGAAAAATAAATCCTATTATTTCTTCCAGGAAAATCAATGTGCTTCGTTTCACGAACAAAAACAGGACAGTGACCTGCAGTAACTCTAACAACCGTGACTCCAGTTCTGCAGTGCTTCACTTAGGCAAGACTTCTTACTGCGCTTGGTGCCGGTGCAAGGACTACAGAATGGAAAGCGGGGTTCCTTTGCCGTGCGACCCAGAACACGAGGAGGGATGGGTGAAAATAAGCACCCTAATGTAAAGCAAATTTACTCTTTGCATATGCATGAGTTTAGCTTGTTGGGTTTACATCTTGTATTTTCAGCAATATTCTCCTATTCAGTTCTCGTATTTTATCAATATTCTCTGCTTAAGTTCAAAGAAATTTTGTGTTATATAAACTCAGTGTTAGCATCTCTTCCATGCCACAAAGGAACTGCCAGCTTTCAGTATATAAACATTTATTACTATTTATTATTACTTCAATGACTTAGTTATAAGAAGGAAACAGAGCAAGCAGCAGGGAAAGCTGCATGTTTATCCCCTTTACCGCTTCCCTTCAACGTAGGTGAGAACAGCAGCCCCAGGGCTGGCTCTCTGCAGGCCTTTGGAGGCCAAGGAAGGCTTTGCCACGTTACACTGCACCCCCCTTCCCACTCCCCAGACTGTTCACAAAGCCCCAAAGCTGGGAACTGAGTGGGAACAGAGAGGCGGATGGGTGAAGCTGGAAACGACCCTTTATGGCCGTTTCCCAAGATCTGGACAGAGTCCCTGCTCAGAAGTGTCTGCTTCAACGTTGGAAGCGCATATCATTTTTTGCAAGCATCTGGGCGAGTTAAAGAGCTGCGGTCTGTAGACAACTGCTGAGTTCAGCGTCCCTTAGCGCTGCAGTGCAGCAGCAATCAGCAGGGCACCACCACGCTGCGCAGCGGTTTGGGGCGGGAAGTGAAGAATACCACCAAATTCAACTAAAGTAACCGGGCGTTTGGGGAGGTGGAATCCAATTACTGGGACTGCGGCCAGAACATCTGTCTAGACGTCTACGCTCTGGCAAAAATGTTATGGGATCTTTGATGGCATGAAGTGGTCAGGATCTTGGTTTTTCTTATTTGAAAGACAACAGAAGCAAGAGTAATGTGACTGCTGGCTGCTGCCCCAGGCAGGACTCATCGGCAGCTCTGGGGACGAGGTGCCGCCTCCTGCAGAGCCATACCGAAACGCCCACGGCAGGCATCACGCAGAGAGCGAGTGCAGGACAGCCCCTTCTTCCGGGGCAGCGAGGGGACTGAACGCAGGACTCGAGTCCATCGCATCTGGTAACGCAGGCCAACGACAGCTAGGGCTCCGCTGCCTCGACTTTAACTTCGCAAGCCAAAATTGTACTTAATGAAATATTTCATCTCTAATATTGGTGGTGCGTACAAAACAAACAAAGGTTACGAGCTAGATTTGGCTTTGGTTTTGCAAGGAAACAAAAACAAGTAATAAAGCTGAGAAAGAAGGAGCTGGCAGCGGATAAGTTGCCATCAGAAGCTGGTGACTGCCCTCCTTGATGACAGCGCTATGGCCTCAGAGAGCTGCTCCTGCGGTTTCCTAGCCAAGTCTGCAAGCAGGTGGGCAGGGGAAGGGAGAGATGCTACTTAGCTCATATCACAGGGTATTTCTTTCATTTCACTCATTACATCAATCAGACAAAGTCAAAATCTGTGTTTCGTCCACAGGGATTTCTGGGATGGAACATTTTCACCTGGTTTTGCATTTTTTTTACCAGGGGTTCATCTCCGGTGTAGCACTTTATTTAATATTTTTGTTCTAGACAATAATAGACTCGTACAGTAGATACAACAGCTTAAAATGTTAATGGTATTGAAATACATAATTTGGATGTTAATGCTCTGTGTCTAAGTATTCAGATACTGAAGCAGCAGAGAGCACAAATGCAGTTGACTAACCCTTATTTACCTCCTCTTGCTCCTGTTCGTATGGTCCTCCCCATCCATCCCCCCGAAGCTTGCTGCTGGTTTTATAGCAATGTCAGCCGTTCTCAGTCTCAGCTCTCACAAGCCCTCCTATTTACTCCCAGTTTAACTTCTAATTCTTTCGCCAAATGCCTTCCATTGCCCCCCAAGGCTTCTTTATCTCCTTATACAGTCTTACATTACACCACTTCCAAGCTCCATTCTGGCCGTACCTCAAGGAGACGTGGCATTACCTCAGCCTGACAGGGACTCCTAGGAACTCCAGCACCTGACTTCCGACAGCAGCAGTCTATCACTCTCTCTGTGGACCAGTGCTAGGAAGGGACACAGAAAATCTTTTTCCCAGCTACCCGTTTTCACCTGGGAAGGGCAAGACCAACGCGCTGTCACATCCCACGGGCAGCGTCCTGCGGCCGTATCACTCTTCCTCTAGTTCTCACCACTCTCCTCCAGTACTCCAGAACATCCTTGCCCAGTCCTCCCTCCTCCACAGCCTTGTCTCATTGTCCCAGTCTCTCATCAGCTAACTTGCTAGAGCTTTCCTCTTCTGGCTGCTTCTGCAAGTCTTGGTCTCCTTGCCTGAAAACCCGGTGCTGGCCCGAGGCTTCCCCCTTCTGAGTCCTAGCTACGCCCTTCCCTGCACGGCTACCGGGTGGCTCCTGTAGAGTTTTGGTTCTGGCTTTTGTTCCACTTGTATTTCATTCACGGAGGTTTCCCACCGCTACTTGCTCCAACGGGATGTAAAGGAGAGGAAGGCTCATTTATTACCTGCCCACAACCTCACAGGGCATGGCCCTTGGTAGCTGCGAGGAAAATCCTGGGTTGTATCCAGTCTAGCTGTAATTTGCAAGAAACTTAACCACTAAAATAATAACAGAAATCTCTACTGAGATTTAGACGTATTTGTGAAAAGAAATTTTTCAAGGGTTTAGACCTTGGCCAGATGTTCACATCATTTCACAGACAGATCAAAAGTGCAACTTAGACACAAAGACTACTCACACCAAATTCCTGATCTTTGATTGAGAGCAGAATGACACCAAACCGTACTGACGGAAAGGTCTGAAGAACCTGCAAACCATTCATGCAACAACGTATTTTTGCCAAACCTTGTTCTGCCTGAAAGCACTAATGTTGCTAAGATCAAGTAGAAGGGTATTTCTGGTAAAAAATTCGTATCTATTTCCCCTCACCTCCTTTTACCCTGACCAGGTACACAACTAATGAAATACACTCAGAGATGTACACACTGCTGGTCTTCTGTTATCATACTCAATCAATAAGAACAATTTAGAGCAGCGGTAACCTCTCCATGCATACTTCCATTGTCCCAAGGGATCAATATAATCAGTATCGCAGCTGGCTGGTGAGAAATAATGAGATTATGATAACAAAAAGGCAAGCTTTCCAAATTTTTCTTAGCGTATGCCAAAACATCATACTTTTCTATCTGTCCATAAAGGACAAAATAGCAATATTTAAGAATATTGTACCTATTAAAAAAAAGTATATAAAAAGTATGTTTTTATTTATGATTTCCTGAACTTTAGCTTTCTTTGTGAATGCAGTATTTCTTTCCCTTAAAAGCAACTGTGAGATTTGACTTCTTCATTCTTGGAAAGGGGCCATACATGTTTAAAACCATACCAAATTTTCCACAGATTCCTCCTGAACAGGACTGCCATTTGCAAAAATCTTGGTTTTGTATATGCAATACTTGTCTATTCATGGCTAAAATTCGGCTAAGGGATATAGCTGATTAAAATCATGCATGTGTATTAAAAAAGCCAAATTATTCTAATAGCCTTAGCAGTTACATAATGTGTTTACTGAAACTGAAAAAGCAGAATCCAAGTTCCTGTCCTCTTTCCCGATGCTCCTCTTGGATCCCCCTTGCCCACGGCAGTAGGCTTGGCACCCCCACTTCCAGTCCGTTCCTCGCGAGTGCCCCTGCTAAGTCAGTTTTCAACAGCTCCAGGCAAAGACTGCCTTTATGGCCGCAATAAAGTACCTGAACAGGTTATCTGGGTCCAGTGCGTAAAAGTAGCTCCACATCTCTTAGCACACAATCGTGTCAGGTCTATTTTGAGAGCAGCTATAAAAGACAGGACCAGCTGAACCCAAACAATGAGCTATAGAGCGCTGCTGGCACGCGGACTGCGCTGTCACTCTTTATGTAGTGATGAAGGGGATGTGGGAAGACTAAACATTTATGAAAGGAACAAAGATCATTATCATTTCTACAATATGGATGGGAGCACTCACAGTTTACCTACAGTGCTAGTAACAATTATGTTTTAGCTAGGTAGTTAAATACATGGATTATATATGAATCTTACCTGGGAGGAAATGAGATGTCCAGTTCATACAGTCTGTCTTTAAAGACTGACAGCTCTCTGTCAAATTCTAAAAGCTATAAAAGATAGAGATACATGTGTTCACTCTTTAGTGTTGAACAGAAGCAATCTAAAAATACTACATTATATAAAAGGAAATAAACAGAGACTTTGATTACACAGCTTGAGGTCTATCCCTCATAGAACAGTTTTTAAAACATAGCGTAAAACACTCAGTACTGTTTTAATACATAAACAGTTCATTGACAAAAGTGTTCAAAACATTCCTTTTCATCTCGGTGAAACACATAACACTGGCTCATTACAGCAGTGACCTATATGTACACTTACTATTTCAAGATGCCTAATTTTTTTCAAATTTTATTAGCAATCATTTCAAAGATAAACCAGACGAGCATTAAAAAAGTACAGCAAACTGATATGCTAATCAGCCCACACAAATGCCAGCAAAAGGCATCATATTACTTCGTATTATCTTTAGCTCAGATAAGAAGGTACAATAAACACAAGGATGTGCACATCACTCTTCCTAAGCAAAGACAAGCAGTGGTTTTGCACACCTATTTTGGGTGGTGCACATCAGATAGCAGAAAGAGGGATACGTGACAATAGGTAAAATGTGTTCCCAGGCAGCAGCCAAGATATAGTACTAGAAGCAGGTATTTAACAGAGATGTTCATAAGTCTAGATTTAATGTCCTGTATAAATATTAGTCCTTGCCAAATTTGTTTTCCCCCGGACCTCTACAGAGAAAATAAATATCTGCGGCCTTTTATTCATGAACACAAACCCGCTCATAACAAGTCAATGATAATCGTCCACATTAAACCAATAATTGTTCTGATGGACATAAACGACCTTATTTCAGAGCCGTGGCTGGTGTTAAGCCTGACGTCCGAGTGAATTAGCGAGTTAGAAGACAAAAAGCTCATAATCTGCACTGTTACTGGCCGTCGCTCTAAGTGCCACTTTCTGTTTTGACAAGCGTGTCATCCAAACAGTACCCCGTCCGTCCGCTGGCAGCGTGTTTGCCCGCTGTTCATTAATCATGTCCCATCTCACAGCTGTGCTGATACCATTGTATGAATGGCAGAGGTTCCCAAAGAAATTAGATTGTGTCCCTCTTTCCCCTCTGCCACCTCATAAATCATTCCTGAAATGTGCAATTAGCAGCTACTTGTACACATTAATTATCTGTGTGAAAAGCAGCTACCTGAACCACCTGCACTGCTGATTAGCTGCCTCTCTAAGGCCCACCCGGCTTGCTTCAGTTTCTAGTTGCCAAGTTGCTGCATGTCCGTACTTTTACATGAGGATGCCAAGTAACGGGCAGCTTTCCCTATTTTAGTGCATCTGACACCAAATTCTGTGATGGTACGCTGGAAAAGACTTTGCAATACAAATAATTGCAGATAATTTGTACACGTTTTAACGTCTGATCAAAAGCCTGAGTATCCAAGATGTTTGGATAAATATTTATAAACATCTGTGTGGGAACTTACGGTATGTATCTAATAATATGCTCAATCCTACAAGTGTTGGGGTGGTTCAGCCACTATTCTTAGTGAAGCAATCTTAACATACTTCAGGAAAAAATGGTTTATCGTGCATGTTTCCAGACTGTGATCCTGCCTTTAAGTACGTACAGATAGGTGTGTAGTCACCATACACACATACAAACGGGCTATGAAAACAAATGTTACCATCTCTTTCCTGCTCCACATGTCTCCACCTTAAAGATATTATCTGCCCAATGTGAATCTAGCATAGGAAAAAGATCTCCCATCCCCAGTTAAAACTCTTCTTTGAAATATATGTCTATTAATACAGTGCAAATACATTTTTCCTACTGTTGCCAAGTAAACAGATCAGAGCAGGAAAGTGGAAGCATCAGGAGAAAGAGGGCTATTTCTGAAGTGTGAAAACTGCAAGGACCGAATAAAAGAACAATGCTCCACAGAACACAATGGTATAAATTACTCATGGGCATTCCAAGGGCTGCCGATGTTAAATAGATGCATTGTCCTCTCACACCAATTCACACTTCCAAAATTTTATACATTCAAATTGTTCTTGCTATGATGATATTTCCAAACTAAACGAAGGCCAGGGTTTAGAGGACTAAGCGTTCGGACGCGCGTTCTTATCCAAAGAAGTGTCTGATGTGTTTATTTGCTGCAGTTGCTTGTTTAGCTGTGTCTGTGCTATGCAGATGCTGACACTGGTGACCGAGAGGACAGACAGTAGGAACAAGACTGCATTGTGTGCTGTGCTCTCTAGCAGTTCCCCAAGTTTCCCCAGGTAGAGAGACATCTTTAACCCAAAATGACAAAGCCAGAACCTCACGATGACCCAGCTGGATGTCAAAGCCCAACTAGGTGCCTAGAAGAAATACTCAGGGAATGCTCATTGTAGATGATTCATCCTCACATGTAGAACAGTTAAATATTTTCACTGGATTATTTGCACAAACTTTTATTTCATGCTGTATTTTAAATAATTATTTTATTTTAAACAAATTATTTATTTTTTCCTAGGTATTAGGTGACCATGTTACAGTATCTGCAACCTTCTGTTCCAACGTGTCCGCAAGCTACGCAAGCAGACATCTGCCCGTTCTTAGGAAGTGCAATGACAAGTTATTTGTGTGTTCAGGACTGCGCAGCGTGAATCCACCTAGCAGCTTTTCTTTATTTACCTGGTAGCACTGCAGACAGTGGGGGAGAAGAGGGGGAGAAATGATGAACGCTCGAACTGTGCACTTTGAGAAAACGCCACTTAAGTTTTCAGTAGAAGAGCAGGTTTTAACTATTACTTTTTTCAGTATTAAAAGCACTTGGGTTCTCATTTAAGCCTGTAATCTCAAAATGGAAGATTACCGGTGAAAAACGAAGGCGTTCACTAGGTCTTGTCACAAACAGTCAGAAATGTCACTTTCCCTCAATGCAACTTAGCAAGAGAAGGAAGGGGACCTGACACGGGCATCGTTTACCTGTATTTGCTTTATGACAGGTGCATGGGTGTCTGGAGCTCCTTGGCACTACAGAAAATGAATGAAAATTAATATAGGCCAGAGCCTATATTGAGGAGCAGTCAGAATCTCACAGGGTAATGTCTTTATTTTTAAAGCATATAGCATTGTATTTAAAAAAAACCCACCCAGAACATACTCTACTCATGGCAATTTTCAGCACAAACTGCTCCCTTATTTCCATATTGTACACTGAACAGCACTGGCAATCATGTTATTGCTGTAACAGTAAACATGAGTACGTCTGTCACTCTAAATGCCTTAAAAATGTCAAAGAAATTAAGTTCAAAGCTTAAAATCAATATATTGTTCTATTTAATTTACTCATTATAAGATCATCCTTAAGAACCAAATCTTTAAGGTGTTACATGATGTGCTGGGGTAATTTGAGCAATTACACAGAGATTTTAAAATGCTGTGGCTGGAAGTTAATTGCAGAACTATATGTCATAGGCAGTTCAGAAGACTCTTTTTTTCTCCAACTCAATTTCACCAATGTATTTATACCAAAATGATAGCGAGGATGATGCAGGGTCTATGTTTTATCTTGCTGTGAGTTGCTGATATTATGTCAAGATACTAGCCCTACAATGTCCAGTGACCAGCCCAACATGAATGTTTGATTAACATCTTCCAAATTAAAACACCATCCATACACGTGAGTAATATATCTATAGTTCGCTAATACCCCAGGAGACACAGAGATAACACGCCTCGGGGAACAGAGCCATGCAGCATATGTAAGAAGGCACGCAGCACGCATCCACTGGCCTGTGACTGTGAGAAAAAACTCACAGGGCAGAGTGTGATTTTAAAAAACAGGTTAAATTTAGTGACAGGATTTTGCGGTCTGAAGTTACGTATTTCCATTTAGCAAACTTCATGAGCCAAACGCTTCAATTAGTTTGTATACTCAAGCTCCTATTGACCTGAACAGGAATTGGCTTGATACCAATGAAGTCCTCTGCACAGAATTAAAGAATGACTGCATTTGCAGTAAAGGATATTCCCTGTGTAATCTGAGTAGAATTGAAAGCATTTAGGGCTGTTGCCTGTATCAGCTGCAGTGCCCACCACCTCCTAAGGGAATTACCAAAACTGTTGTTTTTCCAGGCAACTGTGTCACCTGTAAAAGCCGCTGAAGAGAGTTTCGTTTTTCCCTCCCGTTTTCTTGCCAGCACTATGAGGAACCAGTGCGTTTACGTACGAGGGTGAGGGAGAAGGCAATGCACGATACCAGGGCACGCGGTCCTGCGCAGGCCCTGTCTGCAGAACCCGCAGGCCACTCAGGTAAGAAAAAACTGAGCAGGGCTGGACGGATGGTCTCGGTACTGTGCGGTCCTTCCGACGGCGACGGCAGCGAGCTCCCTCGCCCCGGGGCTGGAGTATGGCTGCAGTTCCCTGTCCCTATAGCTCACGGGGCCCTATATGGTTAAGCAGTGGGTGCTTTGGCCAAAGAGAACAATTATCTGTAATACTAAATTTTGATATGATGTAGCTTGACAGTAATCAAAGGATTATAATAGAGTTTAGCCAGTTGTAGAAATCAAGGTAACTTTGCTCGCTTCAGTTTAAAGCGATGAAGCACTCTTAAAAGGTCAGTGTCCATCGGTATGCTGCAATGGGCCACCTTGGCTAAAATCACACACGTATGAACCCTTTAAAACAGGGCAACTTAATTCAGTCATTGGAGTAGAACAACGGCAATTACTCATCAAGACCTACAGACCAAAGTCAGAGCACTGGTAGATCAGAAGGTGATATTAGCAGCATTTATCAAATCCATCTGCAGGGCCCACCAGAGAATTCACAGCTGTGAAAGGGAAATGAAGTTTCAGACCAAGAAGAGGAGATGAGCATACAGAAATGACCTTAGGGAATTAAAATATGTGGACACTGGTCACTGTAGCCTCCTTTGCCAGTCTTGTATAGCACGCTATTTTTTTCAAGAGACTTTGGAAATACAGTGATTTTACCCAGCTTTCCAGTCAAAGAAAAATATTTAGAAACTGATTCAGCAGTCTA